CCCAAATGTGCCCCAGGTGTGCCCAGGTGTGTCCTGGTGTGTCCAGGTAACGCCCAGGTGTGCCCAGGTAACCCCAGGTGTGCCCAGGTGTGTCCCAAATGTGCCCCAGGTGTGCCCCAGGTGTGTCCTGGTAATGCCCAGGTGTGCCCCAGGTGTGTCCCAGCTGTGTCCTGGTAACGCCCAGGTGTGCCCAGGTGTGCCCAGGTGTGCCCCAAATGTGCCCCAGGTGTACCCCAGGTGTGCCCAGGTGTGTCCTGGTAACGCCCAGGTGTGCCCAGGTAACCCCCAGGTGTGCCCAGGTGTGCCCAGGTGTGCCAAGGCAAGCTCCAGGTATGCCCCAGGTGTGCCCAGGTGTGTCACTGTAACCCCAGGTGTGCCCAGGTGTGCCCAGCTGTGCCCAAACCCCCCAAAATCCCCATTTTTCACCCAAAATCCCCATTTTTCACCCCAAAATCCCCATTTTTCACCCAAATTTCACCGGGTTTTTTTCGTTTTCCCCCTCCCAGCTGTGCCCAGGTGTGCCCAGGTGTGGTTACCTGTGCCACGTGTGCCAGCTGTGCCAGCTGTGCCCAAGCCCCCCAAATCCCCATTTTTCACCCAAAATCCCCGTTTTTCACCCCAAAATCCCCATTTTTCACCCAAATTTCACCGGGTTTTTTTAATTTTCCCCCTCCCAGCTGTGCCCAGGTGTGCCCAGGTGTGCCCAGGTGTGGTTACCTGTGCCAGCCGTGCCAGCTCTGCCCAGCTGTGCCCAAACCCCCCAAAATCCCCATTTTTCACCCCAAAATCCCCATTTTTCACCCCAAAATCCCCGTTTTTCACCCAAATTTCACCGGATTTTTTTTGTTTTCCCCCTCCCAGCTGTGCCCAGCTGTGCCCAGGTGTGCCCAGGTGTGCCCAGGTGTGGTTACCTGTGCCACCCGTGCCAGCTGTGCCAGCTGTGCCCAAACCCCCCAAAATCCCCATTTTTCACCCAAAATCCCCATTTTTCACCCCAAAATCCCCGTTTTTCACCCAAATTTCACCGGGTTTTTTTCGTTTTCCCCCTCCCAGGTGTGCCCAGGTGTGCCCAGGTGTGCCCAGGTGTGCCCAGGTGTGGTTACCTGTGCCAGGTGTGCCCAGGTGTGCCCACCTGTGCCCAAACCCCCCAAAATCCCCATTTTTCACCCCAAAATCCCCATTTTCCACCCAAATTTCACCGGGTTTTTTGCATTTTCCCCCTCCCAGGTGTGCCCAGGTGTGCCCAGGTGTGCCCAGGTGTGCCCAGGTGTGCCATTACCTGTGCCAGCTGTGCCAGCTGTGCCAGCTGTGCCCAAACCCCCTAAAATCCCCATTTTTCACCCAGAATACCCATTTTTCACACAAAATCCCCATTTTTCACCCAAATTTCACCGGGTTTTTTTTGTTTTCCCCCTCCCAGGTGTGCCCAGGTGTGCCCAGCTGTGCCCAGGTGTGCCCAGGTGTGCCAGCTGTGGTTACCTGTAGGTGATCTCGGGCTGCTCCCAGCGCAGCCCCTGCAGGGCGAAGCGGCGCCGCCGCACCTGCGCCTTCACCTGGGGCCCGAATTTATCGGGGACGCCGCACCTGGGCCGGAGCATGGCCCTGGAACCAGTACGGACCAGTATGGACCAGTACGGACCAGTANTCACCTGGGGCCCGAATTTATCGGGGACGCCGCACCTGGGCCGGAGCATGGCCCTGGAACCAGTACGGACCAGTATGGACCAGTACGGACCAGTATGGACCGGTATGGACCGGTATGGACCAGTACGGACCAGTATGGACCAGTATGGACCAGTACGGACCAGTATGGACCAGTATGGACCAGTACGGACCAGTATGGACCAGTATGGACCGGTACGGACCAGTATGGACTGGTATGGACCAGTATGGACCAGTATGGACCAGTATGGACCAGTACGGACCAGTATGGACCAGTACGGACCAGTACGGACCAGTATGGACTGGTATGGACCAGTATGGACCAGTATGGACCAGTACGGACCAGTACGGACCAGTACGGACCGGTATGGACTGGTATGGACTGGTATGGACCAGTATGGACCAGTACGGACCAGTATGGACCAGTATGGACCGGTACGGACCAGTATGGACCAGTACGGACCAGTACGGACCAGTACGGACCAGTACGGACCAGTATGGACCAGTACGGACCAGTATGGACCACTTTGGACCAGTATGGACCAGTATAAACCAGTATGGACCAGTATGGACCAGTATAAACCAGTATGGACCAGTATAGACCAGTATGGACCAGTATGGACCAGTATAAACCAGTATGGACCAGTATGGACCAGTATGGACCGGTATAAACCAGTATGGACCAGTATAAACCAGTATGGACCGGTATGGACCAGTATGGACCAGTATGGACCAGTACGGACCAGTATGGACCAGTATGGACCAGTATGGACCAGTATGGACCAGTATAAACCAGTATGGACCAGTATAAACCAGTATAAACCAGTATGGACCAGTATAAACCAGTATGGACCAGTATGGACCAGTATGGACCAGTATGGACCGGTACGGACCAGTATGGACCAGTATGGACCGGTATGGACCAGTATAAACCAGTATGGACCAGTACGGACCAGTATGGACCAGTATGGACCAGTATAAACCAGTATAGACCAGTATGGACCAGTACGGACCGGTATGGACCAGTATAAACCAGTATGGACCAGTACGGACCAGTATGGACCAGTATGGACCAGTATAAACCAGTACGGACCAGTATGGACCAGTATAAACCAGTATGGACCAGTACGGACCAGTATAAACCAGTATAAACCAGTATAAACCAGTCCGGAATCCCCACCTGAGAAAATCCCAAATTTTGGCGCCCCAACCCCCCCGAAAAATCCCAAAATTTCCCCAAAAATCCAAAATCCCCCGAAATTCAAAAAATCCTCAAATCTCCAAAAACCCCGAAATTCCCAAANAAATGTCCAAAAATTCCCAAAATTCAAATAAAGCCCCAAAAAAATCCAAAATTCCCAAATTCAAAAAAATCCAAAAAATCCCCCAAAAATCCCCAAAAATCCCCAAAATCCCCAAAATTCAAAAAATCCCCAAAAGTCCCCCAAAAAATCCCCAAAATTGCAAAAATCCCCCAAAAAATCCCCAAAAAATTCCACAAAAATCCCCAAAATTGCAAAAATCCCCAAAAAAATCCCCAAAATTCCCCGAAATTCCAAAAATCCCCAAAATTCCAAAAAAATAAAAAAAAAAATCCCAAATTCACCCCAAAACCCAACGGTGACCCCAAAAATGGCCATTTCTGATTCCATGGGACCCAAAATCCCCGTTTTTCACCCCAAAACCCAACAACGACCCAAAAATGGCCATTTCTTGCTCCCGTTGACCCAAAATCACTGGTTTTTGACCCAAAACCCAACAGTGGCCCCAAAAACTGACATTTTTGGCTCCCGATGACCCAAAATCGGCGTTTTTCACCCCAAAACCCAACCATGACCCATAAATGGCCATTTCTGTATCCAAATGACCCAAAATCGCCGTTTTTCCCCCCAAAACCCAACAACAACCCAAAACCGGCCATTTCTGGTTCCCAATGACCCAAAATCGCCATTTTTCACCCCAAAACCCAATAGTGGCCCAAAACCTGACATTTTTGGTTCCCGATGACCCAAAATCGCCGTTTTTCCACCCAAAACCCAACCACAACCCAAAACCAGCCATTTCTGGTTCCTGATGACCCAAAATCCCCATTTTTCCCCCCAAAACCCAACAACGACCCAAAACTGGCCATTTTTGATTCCAAATGACCCAAAATCGCTGTTTTTCCCCCCAAAACCCAACCACGACCCGTAAATGGCCATTTTTGGATACTAGAGACCCAAAATCGCCGTTTTTCCCCCCAAAACCCAACAACGACCCGTAAATGGCCATTTCTGGTTCCAAATGACCCAAAATCGCCATTTTTCACCCCAAAACCCAATAGTGGCCCAAAACCTGACATTTTTGGTTCCCGATGACCCCAAAATCGCCGTTTTTCCCCCCAAAACCCAACAACGACCCAAAAAATGGCCATTTCTGGTTCCCGTTGACCCAAATTCACAGTTTTTTGACCCAAAACCCAAAAATGACCCAAAAACCGACCATTTCTGGTTCCCAATGACCCAAAATCACCGTTTTTCCCCCCAAAACCCAACCATGACCCGTAAATGGCCATTTTTGGATCCTAGCGACCCAAAATCTCCGTTTTTCCCCCCAAAACCCAACCACAACCCAAAACTGGCCATTTCTGGTTCCCGTTGACCCCAAATCCCCGTTTTTGGCCCCAAAACCCAATAGTGGCCCAAAAAACTGACATTTTTGGTTCCCCATGTCCCAAAATCGCCGTTTTTTGACCCAAAATCCAACCATGACTCCAAAACCCAACAATGACCTCCAAAAATGGCCGGCTTTGATTCTAAATGACCCAAAATCGCCGTTTTTCCCCCCAAAACCCAACCACAACCCAAAACCGGCCATTTCTGGTTCCCGTTGACCCAAAATCCCCGTTTTTGGCCCCAAAAGCCAATAGTGGCCCCAAAACCTGACATTTTTGGTTCCCGATGACCCAAAATCGCCGTTTTTCCCCCCAAAACCCAACCACGACCCGTAAATGGCCATTTTTGGATACTAGAGACCCAAAATCGCCGTTTTTCCCCCCAAAACCAAACAACGACCCAAAACTGGCCATTTCTGGTTCCCAATGACCCAAAATCGCCGTTTTTGGCCCCAAAACCCAATAGTGGCCCCAAAAACTGACATTTTTGGTTCCCGATGACCCAAAATCCCCGTTTTTCACCCCAAAACCCAACAACGACCCAAAACTGGCCACTTCTGGTTCCCGATGACCCCAAATCGCCGTTATTGGCCCCAAAACCCAACCACAACCCAAAACTGGCCATTTTTGGCTCCCGATGACCCAAAATCCCCGTTTTTCACCCCAAAACCCAACAACAACCCAAAACCGGCCATTTCTGGTTCCCGCTGACCCAAAATCGCCGTTTTTCACCCCAAAACCCAACCACGACCCAAAACCGGCCATTTCTGGTTCCCGCTGACCCGAAATCGCCGTTTTTGGCCCCAAACTGACCGCAGGGTGTCGGCGTCGGCCGTGCCGGTGACGGGGAGGCCGTAGAAGCGCTGCATGGCCGCCAGCGCCGCCGCCAGCGAGGCGGGGCCGTGGCGGGGCCGCGC